AATGCAAAAAATACTTACCCAGCATCTTGGGCTTCATGTGCTCTTATTATAGACAACAAATTATTCTGCTGAAGGAATTCACAACAAGCTGCATAGCTACATTTAAAACAATATTTAAAAAACTATTAGTATTTACAAAAGTATTAGATCTGTTCTGAAAATAATAAGACTAATATTATAATCATCATCAAAATTTTCTAAATTTCAATCTGCTATCCTGCTGGCTTAAATATCTAATCATAATATATATTTAAATTCAGTTTGTGTGCACCTAGCTTCATTTAATTGTTAGATATCATCATGAATACATAAAATCAAAGTTTGCTTGTAGTTTTGACAAAGTTCTGTAAAAATTTGATATAAGTTTACGTTTCTACTAACAATTATGCAAAATGATATATAAACTTCTTAACATAAAATATTAATATAATTATCAATTGAAATGTAATTAAAAGATTTGTATGTGCATATTAAATGATAATAAAAACTAACCTGTAAAAATAAGAGCAACCTCTGACTGCATTATGTGAGAAATGTTCAGAATTTTTTTCATTTCCAAAATCCTCCAATGGATCTGACCAAAGTATATCACACATTGGACCAAATGCAGGTGGTTCTTTAAATCTATCTAACTATAAAGTAAGAACATTATAATTTTAATTAGAATAATTGTATGCATGCTTACAAATAATACAGTATATTAATGTATATGAAATATTTTTAATATATAGAATTACCTAAAATAAATCTTTAAATGTTTCTATTAACCTACATAGTTATTTATTTTAGAGCTTATCACAGCAGTGAATATGAACACAAAATTTCAACCAACTGAAGAGGGACTTTTTTAGACTTAGGAGTCCAAAATGCATTTTGGGTATATTGTATACATATTAAATTTAATTATTCTAAAATTCCTTTATTCTAATGTAAATGTAAATATAAAATAAATTTAAGAATTTTTGTTTTCATATTCACTGGTGTGATAAGCCCTAAAATAAGTAACTGTTTAGATTAGTAGAAACATTTAATGAAATTAAGGGCAAAAAGCAATAAAAAATACATTAGAATAAATCATTTTTCAAGAAAACTCAAAACATTTTTCATATATATAACATACTAACTTTATACATATTTAAAAACATATAAATTGCTCCATTTTCTTATCTAAGCATATTTAAAATTTATTATAAATTTTTGCATACATGCAACTAACATAATAGATTAAAAGATTAAATCTAATAAATTCTTTATTGTAATGCATCACTGTATTCTGTTCACTAGTAGATTTTAAAAATTCCATAACTAGATAAATTAAAGAAAAATTTTTAAAAATGAAATAGCAGTTATTAAAAAATGTGACTGTACTTTCTATTATTTATCAGTTCATTCTAAATCTCAATCTTTTAGTTTAAGAAAATTAGTGGAGGCATACACTGCAACCATTAAATACAGATTTGATACTTTGAATCAGGTGTTTATAAAACTTAGATAAAATAAAAGAAAAAACATTAAGTGCCATGTGTTGCAAATATGCAACACACTAGTCCAGGAATGGCCAATATATGGCTCGCGGGTCGGATCTGGCCTGTCTAATGAATTTATGTGGCCCGCAATTAATTTTTCAATATTAGCTACTCAAGTCCGAATAGCTTGATAAAAAATTCTGACGCCTAAAAAAGAAAAACAAAAAAAATCAACAACTCACTGTGCATTTAGAGTNACCAATGAAGAGAAAAATTATACTAAAGAAAGGAATATATAACCTCATTTAAATCTGTATTGTCCAGCATGCCAGTATTCCCCAGGATTAACTGGTATGTTGGTTTTTACCATACAGAAATATCTGATTTCATGGTCTCCCCCAGACAGACTGACATGCTGGGCAATCCTTGAGAAAATACAATACATCTCTCTATTTGGAATTCAACAAGCTCTGAGCTTTGGTTTCTATGATGTGAGTCTGAGAGAGAAATCATTAGGCACAAAACTTAAATTGCTTTAGAAATCACAAGCTGATGAAGAGCTCAAGTTTTTTACATCATATTTCAATTTCTCTTTGGGAGACATACCTAAATCTGTTCATGATGTTTTGTCTAAAAGCCAAAAGCATATTCCCAGGCCAACTGGTTTGAATCCAGTGATACTTGTTCTTTCTATTTGGGTTACTGTAAAGTCAATCTCCAAGAAAGTTGACCAAACTCTTGATTCTTTTTCTGCTGCTTATCTTGCCATTCCATTTTTTTTGTTTCATTTATTTTATAATTACATCTTCAATGCAGTGTAATAAAAAAACTGCTTAATCTCTGAGATAGTATCTTCTGAACTGTATACCAATACATGCCATGCTTTCATTTCAAATGTATGGGATATATAGTGGAGTGACATAAAGATTTATTTCTGTTCAAGTGATATTCTGTGGGTACATGCCCTTGTGGGTTATGTTCAAAAAGTTACAGTAATTACATAGTGTAGAGTAATAGAGAGGTTGCAACCGAAGTTCAAATGTTAAACTTGTATGGCAAGTAGAAGTACACGTTTGAACTCCAAGTAAAACACATTGTACCACATGTTCACGTCACATACTGACTCATGGGATATTGTTGAAAAATGACGGAAATGTTTAACAATGATGATATTGCTAGCGAAGGTAAATAAACAAATTAAACTATTTTAAAGTATTTATAGGATGTTTAATAACACTAAATTGTTATTTTTAACTAGTGTCGTGTCTTCTACCATATGATAGGGCAATAGGACTATCTCATACTTTTGTTGAGGGAAGTAGTAGCTTACGTAAATCCAAAAACAGCTCGAAAAATTATTTTTAGAAAATTTACAAACATATTACACTGTTGATGGTAAAAGATGCTGTGAAAGAACAAACCTACTCCTACAGAATTATGATAAGCTATTATGAACACAAATATATGTAAATTCTATAGGCACTTCACATCATTTGTTGAATAATTCAATAATTTCTGGATTAAAATTGTCTGCTTCTTTACATTATTATTCATAAATGCTTAAATAATCATTATTTTAATAAAATATGTTATAATTTTACCCCCCCAAAAAAGGCCATTATCAACCTAGTAGAATTGATAGATGACAGCGCTTGATGTCCGACAGCCGCAATCTCTCTAATAAATTTTGTATTCTCTCTTTTTCTGTTGGTACTATTTATAGATTAATAAAGTGACACTCCTAATAGTGCCACCTCTTATCGAACGACAAAACTTATTGAACAACCTGGTACATTAAATTTTCAAATGTGATTGTGTGATTCTAAGTAAAAATACGTGTTTGCAGCAAATCTACACTACTGTTTTAAATTTTAAAAATTTATTTTTCAAGATGAGTCTACACGTTCATGGCTCAAGTGAATGAATTCAAAAATTAGTGATCTCACAAAGATGATATTTGTTCAGCTCATTGCATTATTTGCCAAACCTCATTTAGTGTGAAATACAATGGAATTAAAGCATTTACAATGCATTTGATTGCAAGAAGCTTGAAAAATGAAGTGCATCTTCTCATTTACCTTTCCCCTCCCCTAGTCATCAAGTTGGCCAATGAAGCAGTTTCCTAAGATAATGATCCTGGGTGGCATAATTCTTTGAGTAAAAGGAAATTAACTGTAATTTCTTTGGGTGTAGTGCAATATTAACTTTATTTAAAATAAGATTACAAATTTATTTGTAGTACACAATAAAAGTAATGCATATGCACATATAAATAAAGAATTTTCAGGTTTTTTTTTCAAAAGATTGATTCTGGATTTCCCAACCATTTTCCATTCTTAAGCTTGATGTTTATTAATTAATGAATGTACTATGCTCATAATGTAAATAGTTAATCTTTATAAACTAAAATAAACTTTAGAAAGTATTCAAAATAATTGGAATCAGAAGAAATTTTGGTATCATTCCATCACTAATATGTAATCTAGAATTTATGCATTTATGTGGTAGAAGTTACAGTCGACCCCCCTAAAAGATATAGATACGTTCCAATTTATTAGGAATCCGATTTCTTACAAGTCGTTCCAATCACAGCCCGACACGTGTCAAGTTTACGGACTACGGCTGATTGAAAGGTTTTCTTCCATAAAATTAATTGATTCTACACTAATCCGACTCAACATTTCCAAAATACGTATATTTTTTCGTAGTTTTATAGGAATCGTAATTATAGGGACCATAATTATAGGGAGGTCGACTGTATGTTGAATTTAAAACCTGATGAGCATAAAAGATGGCATAACATTCAGGCCATGTGTTGCAATTCAATGCAATTCTGCAACATGCCTAAAAATCCTAAAAAAAAGAAAAAAAAAAAAAAAAATTTTTTACCAATGAAGAGAAAAATTATACTAAAGAAAGGAATATATAACCTCATTTAAATCTGTATTGTCCAGCATGCCAGTATTCCCCAGGATTAACTGGTATGTTGGTTTTTACCATACAGAAATATCTGATTTCATGGTCTCCCCCAGACAGACTGACATGCTGGGCAATCCTTGAGAAAATACAATACATCTCTCTATTTGGAATTCAACAAGCTCTGAGCTTTGGTTTCTATGATGTGAGTCTGAGAGAGAAATCATTAGGCACAAAACTTAAATTGCTTTAGAAATCACAAGCTGATGAAGAGCTCAAGTTTTTTACATCATATTTCAATTTCTCTTTGGGAGACATACCTAAATCTGTTCATGATGTTTTGTCTAAAAGCCAAAAGCATATTCCCAGGCCAACTGGTTTGAATCCAGTGATACTTGTTCTTTCTATTTGGGTTACTGTAAAGTCAATCTCCAAGAAAGTTGACCAAACTCTTGATTCTTTTTCTGCTGCTTATCTTGCCATTCCATTTTTTTTGTTTCATTTATTTTATAATTACATCTTCAATGCAGTGTAATAAAAAAACTGCTTAATCTCTGAGATAGTATCTTCTGAACTGTATACCAATACATGCCATGCTTTCATTTCAAATGTATGGGATATATAGTGGAGTGACATAAAGATTTATTTCTGTTCAAGTGATATTCTGTGGGTACATGCCCTTGTGGGTTATGTTCAAAAAGTTACAGTAATTACATAGTGTAGAGTAATAGAGAGGTTGCAACCGAAGTTCAAATGTTAAACTTGTATGGCAAGTAGAAGTACACGTTTGAACTCCAAGTAAAACACATTGTACCACATGTTCACGTCACATACTGACTCATGGGATATTGTTGAAAAATGACGGAAATGTTTAACAATGATGATATTGCTAGCGAAGGTAAATAAACAAATTAAACTATTTTAAAGTATTTATAGGATGTTTAATAACACTAAATTGTTATTTTTAACTAGTGTCGTGTCTTCTACCATATGATAGGGCAATAGGACTATCTCATACTTTTGTTGAGGGAAGTAGTAGCTTACGTAAATCCAAAAACAGCTCGAAAAATTATTTTTAGAAAATTTACAAACATATTACACTGTTGATGGTAAAAGATGCTGTGAAAGAACAAACCTACTCCTACAGAATTATGATAAGCTATTATAAACAGAATGTAAATTCTTTAGGCACTTCATATCACGTGAAGAAAAATTGAATAATTCAATAATTTCTGGATTAAAATTGTCTGCTTCTTTACATTATTATTCATAAATGCTTAAATAATCATTATTTTAATAAAATATGTTATAATTTTACCCCCCCAAAAAAGGCCATTATCAACCTAGTAGAATTGATAGATGACAGCGCTTGATGTCCGACAGCCGCAACCTCTCTAATAAATTTTGTATTCTCTCTTTTTCTGTTGCTCTCTTTTATTTATTTATTTTATACATTTATTTACTTGTTCTCTTATTTTTTATAAGAAAAAATAACATTATAAAAGTAATTTAATAAGTTATAAAAAATTATAACTATACTTAAAAAAAAATAAAAAAAAAAAAATGCATGTTCTTTTGCAGACTTCCTATTGAAAATTAATTTCAAATTTTATTAATAAATAATATAATGTTAATTCATAATTTGTAATTTATTCTTAATTGCAACTTAAAAATCTGTAATTAGTACTTACCCGCCTAATATCATCCAATGTATGGATTTCTGGTGAGAGACCACCATGAACACAAAGGAACTGTTGATTCATGAGAGCAGCTAATGGTAAACAATCAAATGCTTCCATACAAGCATCATAAACTCTTTCAGAATATTTTATCTTACCTAATTAAATAATCATACATAAATTAACAATCCCATTATAATAATTTATAATAATAGTGTATAATAACATCTAAAATTAAATGAGAAAATGCAATACAATAATTATAAATTTGGGAAATAAAGCAGAAATTATTGCTGTAACATTTTTTAGAAGTACAGTAGACCTCCCCTATAACACTGTTGATAATTCAGTTTTATATGAATTCCATGTTATACGAGTCACTTAATTTTACAAATACGTGAGCCGTTCACAGCCTGGCACATGTATTTGTAAAATCTAAGATACTTGTACAACATGGAATTCATATAAAATGGAATTATCAACAGTGTTATAGGGGGGTCTACTATAAAACACATATTAGTTCAAGGTATATATTCAAGAAAAACAAAATTATTGGATGCGATAGAGAACAGCAAAAATTAACATCTATCTAATGGACAATAATTGATAATATTCTTGTTTGTTTATTTTTTTTTCATTTCATTCAATAAAATATATTAAAATAAAAAATCAATTTTAACTTATAAAAAAATTCAAATCTCAAATTATAGATTCAAATTTGGGGACAAAAAAAAATGATATATCCAAATCTGCATTATAACGAGGGGCTACTATATATTCAATTCAAAAATTTACAGTAAAGCATTTTATTACTATATTCAAACAAACAGATGCAAAATACTCAGGTAAAAGTAAATGTGCTTGTGGATGAACAAGTCTTCAACAAAACAATTTGTTCTTTTTATAAAAAAATCTGTATTCTAATCAAAAATATATCTTTACATTTAACAATTCAATTTAAATAATTTTCATTTTAACGTGGATAAAATAGCAATTCGTTTGAATTGCTATTTTACCAACGTTCTGTACATGTGTCGACTGTTTTTACGCGATTTCACTTTACATGATGATTTCTTGGAACCAATTAATCACGTAATGTGATAATGCTTATATGTATTACAGTTTATGTAAATATATATAAATAAAACGTATTCAAATCTTGTACATAAGGTTGATAAAAAAGTGAATAATAAAATAATAATTCATGTTAATGAATTACTAACAAATTCAGAGAAGTTTATAGTTGTAGTATTTAATTTTATAATACATCACAGC